TTGATCGTAAAAAATTGAGATCGTTCCTAAGTGTTGGTGAACGTACAGCGGGGTAAATAACCGAAAAAAAATAATCAAAAAAAATAAATAAGTTAAATTAAAGGTTCAAAGTATATTTATTATTAGAAATAAATAGTTTATGAAAAAAAATGACAGATAGAAGTTAAACTCAGTATTGAGATTCAACTTCTTGAAATTGATCATAAAATTATTAAAATCGATCGAATAGCAATTTTTCATATCGATTCAATCAGTACTATTGAGTTTTTATCTAACTTAGAATGATAATTTGTTACATGGATGAATTCCACCATTAGAAAATGCCTAATAAATAGAGGTGGGGTAGACTGGGTTCAAAAGGGACGTTACATGGGGAGGAAGAGACAAAGCTGTTGTGCGTGCCAGCCCCGACTGCTGCTACTGTCTGTCTCACTGAACCCTCCAATATCGATAGTAGTAGGTACTACTACTACTGCTGCCGCCCTGCTAATACAATTACTGTACTTACTATTCTGATTCCATGTACTTGCAACCTACAATCCATCAAATCACAATCCAACCTCTCATGCATCAGTTTGACTCCCCCACTCAAGCACACCATATCTTAGAGGCATGGATTCACCATAAATGCATTATTAAAAAACTAAAACATAAGATTAATGAAGCATTGTAGCCCCTCCGATGTACAATAGATTTAGTCTTTCTCAAAATGATATCATTTTACGTATAAAATGACGTTGTTTTGAACGGTAGAGGAGTTGGAGAGAGTGGGTGAATTTTAAAGCTGTTTTTTATTTTTTTGATACTCTTCACTAATAGAATAGAATCATGAGATTCTTGATCTCACCCATTATTTTTCTTCAAAAAAATTTAACTAAATTAGTGTAACGATTAATCACCAAATTCTAATACAAATTCTAACATTCAAATCTCCAACGTGATACTGATTCATCCTCGGTCATGTATAACAAACCCACCATGCATCAACAACAATGCCACTTTTTTGCCCAAACATTATTTTTTATAGTTATTTTCCTTTTCACGGGGTTTCATATTTTATTTTTAATTTATAATTATTTATAAAAAAATAAAATTGACCTACACTTTTAATGAAAAAACAGAATTTGACACACTTTTTTTAAGACTTTGTACTGAGCGGATGTTTGCGAAGTCATTTTTATAAAAGCAATGGTAGATTGACAAATAAACTAAAAATGAAGACATCTAAAAATAAAATCAAGAAATGGCGGTAAATTAGAATTTAGTACACAAAATTATATATTTGTAATCTTGGATTTCTCTCTGTGTTTTTTTTTTTTTTTGCTTTTTCCACCACACACCTTTCAGAAAATAGCAATGTTACACATACTTAATTTTTTTTTTAAAATTTAACTTGATGATATAAATATTATATTTGTCATTGACTTAATTGTAAATCTTAGTATTTATTAGAATTCACTGTCAATAATATTGCTTCATGAAATCAAATTTTTAAATTTATTTAACGTTTTGATAGAAAAATTATCTTTTGGGTACATGTGTAACTCTCAATTCGGAGTGATCAGTATCAGATACATCTACTCTATTGTCTCTTGTATGAGTGTATCCTTCTCCCTCTCTCTACATGGATATATATACCTATTAGCCTCTCTCTCTCTCTCTCTCTCTCACACACACACACACACAGATGTAGCTTTATTCATTCTATGAGATCTAACCTCCAAAAACAGCTTATATTTCTAACATGCCCAGCCCCTCCTTCATGAAGATCACAGGAGCCTATCAACATCACTTCATATTAACAAACCCATGCATGAAACCATTGAATTGATCAGTATCTTTGCCTCTGCAAAAGGAAACTGAACAACCCAGACAACACCCACAACTAATTTTTCCTGTTCCCTCACCTCTCTCCCTTTCTCTCTCTCTCTCTCTCTCTACATATATTCACAAAAGTGCATATCTGTGATTTAGGGTTTGCTAGCTATCAAAATTCTGACAGTACATACGATGTCGACGGAAAAAGTACCGATAAAGCCGGCCACCAGAGATGAAAGTCAGAGTTCAAACAGCCGGAGAACAACGACGACGAGGCCACAAGAACAAATCCAGAAGTGCCCAAGATGCGATTCACCAAACACAAAATTCTGCTACTACAACAATTACAGTCTCACGCAGCCAAGGCATTTCTGCAAGACATGTAGAAGGTACTGGACAAAAGGTGGTGCTCTGCGCAACGTTCCAATCGGAGGTGGTTGCCGGAAAAACAAGAAGATGAAGTCTTCTTCAAGGCTTTCCGGCGATTCAAAGGACTCCGGTGGAACTTCAGAGATCGGAGGATTCAAGTTCTTTCATGGTCTCTCACCAGCCATGGATTTTCAGCTTGGAGGACTTAGCTTTCCCAGGCTTCAGACTTCAACAACTGGTGTTTACAACCAGTTTGCTTCATTTGGGGACATTTCAACTTCTTCTGCAATTGCATCAAGCCCTTGTTTTGGTCTAGATCCATCAGGAAGCTCTGGACTTTCTGGTTCTTTAATGGGTTTCAATCTTCCTCTCTCTTCTTCTGTACTAAGACAAGGAGAAAATGGTGGATTCTCTGGAGTTCAGGAGATGGGTTCAGTGAATGTTCATGGTAGTCTTGCTTCATCCATAGAGTCCTTGAGTTCTATCAACCAAGACCTGCACTGGAAGTTACAGCAACAAAGATTGGCCATGCTCTTTTGTGGTGAGAATCAGAAAGAAAGCAATGTTCAATCAGTTCCTCTTGAAAACCAGGCCCAGAAACCACAACCCATTTTATTTCAGAACCTGGAGATCCAAAAGTCTGAGGTTTCTGCTGTTGGTAATTCAAGAAAAGATGGTGTAACTGAGTGGTTCTTTGACAACTCTTATGCGCCAGTGAATCCAAACCCAACAAATAGTAGCAGCAATGGCAATGAAAACACAAGCAGCTGGAATGGAATTCAAGCATGGGGTAACTTTAATCAATACAGTTCATTGCCATGAGGGTAATATCAAGAGGTAGATTTTAAGTTTTCAACTAAAGAAACAGGAAAACTTATATATGAATATAAGATAGAATTATGCAGACCTTTTCTTTCTCTCCATTTTCATAATTGTCCAGAATTCAGACCAGTATTTGTATCCTTTACTTCTTTTTTTTCCTGTGGGGTGGATGAAAAAGCTGGGAAGAGGGAAAGTAATTTCTTTCTTCCTAGCTACTTGTTGGGTATTTATTTACCAAAATGATGATTGACAGTTTTAATTACTGATGTTATTGTAATCGGTGATGATGAATTTTACCATTTATTTTGCATCATTGCACGTTCCTACAAAGATGCAAGACTATTGTTGTTTATGGTGGAAATAACAGCATATTATAGATGAAGTGAAAGTCTCTGTGTGTGTTCTGTGTACTTGCTAATTGCTAATTGCTAATTGCTTACTAATTTAAGAATAAGTCGCTTATTTATTAGTTGTAATGGAAAAATGATATTTCATGAAACTTATTTCCAATTTCATATCATAGATTTAAAAAATCTATTATCAATCTAATCGAATATACCTTCTGATATAGCTTCAATCTCTTTGGAATCTGTGATAGAGTTTGGACAACCGTTATTAAATGGACTTAATGGCATATCTTTGATTTGTTTTATGTTTAGTCAGTATCAGAATTCTCATTGTCTCAGTGTCTCTCTCTGTCAGGTAACTGGGCCTCAGTCTCAGACTTCTCAGTTACTGAACAACATATGAAACAAAACAGTAGCTGGGCAAGGCCTTCGCTGCGCCTAGTCTAGCAGAGTTTAGCCTGGCCTACTCCTTGCTCTCTCTCTCTCTCTCAGATTGCCTAGGGTTTTTCATAATAATTAGTTACAGTGTGGCTCATTTATTGTTGTGTCTGAAAAAGTGGTGGTTTGAAAGTGTCTTGAAGGGTGAGACTGTCAACTACATTTGAATGAATGAGAGAGAGAGAGAGAGAGCATCTTAGGCTTAGGTTGGTTCCTTTCTGTTGCAAAAATGTTTTTGTTTAGCTTTTGAGGTTGTTGGATAGTGAGCCCTCCATGCTAATTGCCACTGAACATCTGCACTGTGCTTTTGTTCGTCGGTTGTGAGAAGGGGAAAAGCTTCGGTTTTCTCATCTACTTTTACCTGTTCATTCTTTGCTTTAACTTTTTAATTCATCTAAGTTAAAAAAAGGCCACCACTATTCCAAAGAAAATCAGTATTATACTAAACATATGACCACATAAAAAAGGTTTATTGTTTTATTAATTGTTTCATATTATTTTACTAATTCTATTATGAATCAGTTGTAAATAACTCCAACTAAAATTTTACAATTTAAGTTTATTTTTTCGGTATCATATGAAAAGTTCACTTTTTTATTTATGGGGGTTAAAACAAACAACAGATGAGTTCATTTCCAATTTTACATTTTTCTTATTTCAAATTCATATTATTTAAATATTTATCCATAAATGATATTGTAAATAGGACACAGTTTCAGAAAATCAATTGTTGGAGATGATTGTTAGCCACCAAACCAAACCTATGCACCTTTATGTTCAAGGAAACCCTAATCATAGTTTCAATGCAGGTAGGATGAGGGTGACTCATCAGGCTGGTGGTTCTTTCACCAAAATTGGCGATACAAAAAATTCCCTTCTTGTTCCCAAATAAAAAAATTTCATTCTTTAATCTACTTTCATCATCAAAGAAGTTAGTATGGTTGGAGGAGGCTCTTTTGGTCTCTCAATGGATCGGACTCTGATTCGAGTTTAATCTAATTAGCCGGATATAAATTGATAATTCTTTTGTTGATAATCTGAACCCAAATTTGAATCTGATATCTTGTATTTCACGGATTCGAATTTTAGATATATCTATATCCGATCTGAATTATTTATATATTTTATATATAAATATTAAAGAACTTAAGTAATTATTTAAAGAAATTTAGTTAAAATTTAGGTATAATTTGTTAAAATTTAATTAATTAATTTATTCGAATTGGGTCGAAATTCGAATTGTTAACGTATTTGAATATGGATTACAAAAATAAAATCCTTCAGTTTATCAAATCAAATTCAAATCAGAATGTGATTTGAATTCGAATTCGAATCAATCAAAATCCAATCCACACCATGATCGGTTGACAAGCCTAAGTCTCTCTTTCCGTCATTCATATTGTCTCATTTTTCTATTGACTAACTTTTTAGATCAAGATTTCCTCTAACATTGTTTCTCTATTTTGCTCATTGGTAAATTGCCCACCATGCATTCCTGATGAACTTAGTTATATACAATGAGTCTTATTTTAATTTACTTTAGATGATGTACGAAGAAAAAAAAATAAAAAAAAATATATTGGAAGAAATTTCATTCCCACCTTTTATGATCTAGTGCGACGACATCCCCACAATTATACTTGTAATCATATAGGGTCCAGACAGTGTACATATATTCCTTACAGTCCATGCAATCCTTTCTTGTGTCTATAATCTCTTTTAGGCTTTGTTTGGTTAGCGTCAAAACACTGAAATTTCACATTATCAGCCACAAATGAGTTTTATTGTGTTAAGATTCATAATTTGTATGTGCGATAATTTTTTTTAACATACGTGTGATATTGTTTTGTTATTAGATGATCGTACCATCTAGAGTACGAGGCCTTATATCTAGTGACTAGTCCTAACTCATGCCTGAAGGCATGATAAAATATAAAATTTGAGTGTCCAAAAAATCGATCTCACTATATTAAATTTTTTCAAAATATATTAACTACAAATTAATTAAATATTAAATAATTAAATATATGATAGAAATGAGTGGTGTGATATTTTTATGAAGGAAATATATAAATGATTAAATATATGATAGAAATGAGTGATGTAATTTGACGTTTGAGTCTGACAAAAGAATGATAGGTGAGGTAAGTAATTGATGATAGTTTTAAGGAGAAAAATATGACTGAGATAAAATTCAAACACATTCATGTTTTATTATATAGATATCAAATAGCAACCAATGTACACATTTGTCACTCTTTGCCTTCTCTCTCTCTCTCTCTCTCTAACCTACCCGCCCGCAGTTAAAGTTATGGATCAACGTCCTCAAAAAGCTTGATAATCATTTAAGTTTGTTTTATCCCATTGAGAATCGTAATTTACTTTGCTTTCTGTAACTTGTCTTCTTTCTGTTGGCATTAACCTTTATCTAAGCAAATAATTACAGACTTGAAATCCTCATTTCATTAGTGTTTATCTTTTACTAAACTTTGTTGAACAAGAAAAAGCAGAGAGAGAGAGAGAGAGAGAGAGGCCATGAGAAGACGCGTGATTAACGTGATAGAGTCTTTGGAGAGAACTTTCGCTACACTACTGCATTGTGTTGTCTTCAACTGTCACTCGCAACAAGCAAGAAGTTCATATGAGTCATGACATGATGGGAAATCTCTTGTGCTATTCATATTCACCCGGATTTCGTATTCCTTTTTCACTTCGTACGAAAGTTCAGATATTTCCTATCCATTTTTAAAGAGCAATATTATTATTACACATTTTAAATTAACAGTGAAATGAAATTTATTATTAACCACAGTGCATTAGGTTATTAAATTCTGTTCCTATATTCAGTACAAATAACAATATTTTTTTTAAAATATCTCTCACCAGTAAATCATCAATAATGTGTTAATGCTAAATATATTTGTATTTGGATTTAGTGGGTCTCTTTACAATTAATTATAGGTGATCTGGCATTAAAAGAAAGTGAGAATGTGGTTGCTGAAATTAAGAAAATCTTAATATAAATTGCTTCACAAATTCAATGGTTAAGTGTCTAAGTTACTAATTCAAACGTCCTGAGTTCGAATTTTGGCAACTCTTAGCGCCAGACCATGAGGAATATTAATACCTCACGAATACCTAGTTCCAACGTGAATTACTTGCCTTTAAAAGAACAGAAAAATGAATTAATCAAGATTCGCGTAAGTTGACTCAAATACTCTTGATCATCGAACAAACAAAAAAAGTGTTCAAGTTATTGATACATGTAAATGGTTAGTTTTGCGTATAAAATAGCCATTAATTAAAAAAAATTGGCAAAATCCAGATTTGTATATTATTTATTATTTTCAAAAATCTACATACAATCGTGCTATTACTGTTATTTTTTTAATTAATGTGGTGCAGAATGTTAGCAGAGACTCACTAATCTAATGGTCTATATGCATTGATAAGACATAGTTGGTAAAACAAAAAAGGTCAGTCAATGTAACATTGTTGGCCGGTTTTCTGGTGCTAGATTTTGGTTACTAACCCCTCCGCCCAAAAAAAAAAAAAAGATTGATTGGTTGACTAATGTATATGTTCATACATCCACTTTAAACGGATTGATCAGAGGTTATAAAATTAGATAATGGGATTTTTAGAGATCTTTAATTTGTAAGTCATGTTGTTGAAGTGTTTGAAAAATTGAGGGTTCTCAAAGTCAACAGAACTATGAAGTTAGATGAGAAAGATAGAACTGGATGTCTATAACTGAAAATCATAAAGGAAAATTGATAAGATTCAAAAGTAACTATCATGGGTTAGTCCAGATGGCCAGACCTCGCCTCTTAATTGAGAGGTTCAAAATACGAACCCCTATACATGCGAGATGTTATATAGTTGGAACTTGGAAACAGCAATGCTATTTATTCCTTATCAGATCTAAAGATCGAATAAAAGTATTCTTTTTTTTTTTTTTCATCAATGGTCAGAATTGTTCGGGCTAACTTACGCGTATTTTGACTAATTTTTTTCCTACTTCGGTTAAAGATAGGTCATCCACGTCGACATTAAAGTATTCGTATGAAATAAATCTCACATGATCTGATCCCAAGAAATTGTCAAAATTCGAATATAAGACATCTAAATTTACGGTTCGTTTCTGTTACCATTTAAATTATTCTTGAGAATTAAAAAATAAGTTTTCTAAAGTCAAATAATACACACCCCAAA